TCTTGCTATTTTTCCTAAAATTGACTAAGACTGTACATGACATTTCATAGAAATCGGGGTATATTAAAATGTCTACTAATTTAGAAGGAAAATTAATTTTTCGGTCAATATGAAATGAACTCCTACTCCTAAAATGTGAATCCCTATACAAATCCTGCCAAACAGAAATTAATCAAAAAAATAAATCTTAACAGTCGTAATTTTTAAAATTTTGCAAATATTTGTTTAAAATATTTAGTAAGATATATTTATGTGCTCCAATATTTCTTACGGTGTATTCATTAAAATGTCCGACAGCACCCTCCTCATCGACTGCTCGAATAAAACTAAATATTCTCCCAAAACCAATTTGACAGAAAATTCAAAACAATTTATTTTTACAATTGTGTTGGTGAACACACAGATATCCCAAGGGATACTCTTTGCCTAGCCTTGGAATAGAGGTTTATTGACACACTTTTCTATAGAAAATTTTCCATAAGTGAACGAAGGAAACGCATTTCTATAAAAAAAATTCCTCAGTGAGATGGGGACACTTTTTTCTAAAGAAAAAAATTCCTCAGTTTCTATTAATCTTAATATGAAAGAATCGAATTAAATTTGGGAAAAAATGTTATACTTTCTGCTGACATTTTCCTAATTAGTCAATCCTCATAATCCCAATAAATAAAATTTAAATTTCTTCAATAGTCTGGTGTCAAAATTCCAATTACAAAATAAATTGAACGTGAAAGGCCACACACACGCACATAATCCTTCCGATTCAATCGAATCGGAACCAGACAGACTCTTCATTCCAACTCCTCCACATGTAGCTTTTAATTTCAAGTGGAAATGTAATTCACATTCTCTTTTGAAACCTGGATGTGAGTAGCAGTGGTGCTTCCAACTAGGATGTTGTTGTTGTATCGCATGCATTTGTTTGATTATCCGACAAAATCCCTAGGCCAGCCAGAGGTAAATGGCTGGATGAATGCAAGTCGTCCAGGTGAATGATTGAATTGATGGACGGATGGATGACTACTGACTATCTAGCATGAATGTTGCGAACGCCTGATGATGGTTGTCATGTGTAGTTCCAATAAATAATTCAATTGAAGTGTGTTCTCCGATAAACAACGCTCTTGTCAAAGGATTGTCGGTGACCGGCCATGTAAACGGAAACCTCTTACATGGCAACAGGAAATGTTGGAAGGCGCCTGGCTACACTATTTACAATTGGTCGGTCAATCATTCCACGGCAATGCAGGAAATTATGATGTTTGTCATGTTTTCATCCTATTTCAATCACGGCCAGTGGCAATGCAACCTATCCTCTGCCCTCCCATTCTACTCCTCCCTTCCATTTATATGGATTTTATAACGTCAATTACATTCAAGTATTGATTTTTTTCTTTTCTCCAATAATCATCAATTATACATTATTTAACAAATGGAAGAGAGAATGTCTGAGTGAGTGAGTGAGAACCATGTTAATTATTTATTCATTAAGACCGGAAGTGTTCTCATAATACAACATATCCTCCTCTCCTTCGGAGGGCTCCATGTTAATGATGAAGCTCTCTTCTGTAGCGCCGGATGAGAACTCTTGCCGTGACGTGTTGTAGTCCCTAGCTGCTCGGTTAATTGATTTTGTTTTCTTTAATTGCCATTGGCTATTTATTTGTTTGTTTTTGTTGTTGTTTTGTTTGAAATTCCAGCAATTGATTTGTAATTCTTCATTATTGGCCAGACAACACATGGCTCGTTGGCCAAGTGCAATAGACCTGTTGCAAGGTTGATGGTGGTACCTCATAAAGATATGTGATTGACTTCCGTTGCAGACAAACGACAGTGAATTTTTATTGCAATTTCTTGGAAAATGCAATTATTTTTATTGCCCACCGATTTTAAATGATAGTTTTAGGAAAATGGGGAGAATAGGTGGCTGTGACATTTTTGGTGAATTTTTTTTTTCTGGGAGGAAAGAAATCCATTTTTCAGTGAAATAAGAAAACATTTCTATAGAATGGAATTTCAGTGAGCTTACTAAGGGTATTTTTTTCTATAGAAAAAAAATCATTGAGGATTTTTTTTTCTGTAGAAAAAACTTAACTCAGCTCATTGAGTGTATTTTGTTCTATTTGCATTTTTGTTTGAAAAACTCACCTCAGCTCATTGAGGGTATAGAAAAAACTCACCTCAGCTCATTGAGAGTATTTTTTCTATAAAAAAAAAATCACAGCACACTGTAAATTTTTGTCTATAGAAAAAACTTACCTCAGTTCAATAGAGAATTTTTTTAAAGACAAAAAATCACCTCAGGTCAAAAAATCGCCTTTTGTTTCTATAGAAAAACTCACCTCAGTCCATATAGGATTTTTTGTGGTATTATGCCTCATATTTTTATACCCTACACCACAAGGTGGTCAGGGTATTATGTCTTTGTGCATTTGTTTGTAACAGGCAAAAGGAAACGAGATAGACCCATAGTTCCTTTTGATGATCTGCATAGAATCACATTCTGAGTCGATTTATGCATGTCCGTCCGTTCGTCTCTCCGTCCTATCCAGATGAAATTTTGCGCAAATCATTTGTTTGGCCCAAGGACGAACCTATTGAAATTGGAGATAATCGGTCAAAATTTAGATATAGCTCCCATATATATCTTTGTCCGATTTGCCTTTCATTGTGCACCAAACGTGTAATTTCAGTCCGAATAGTATGGAATTTTGAACGTACGATCAGATTGGACATCAAAATAAGTATGCCAAATTTGATCGAAATCGGTTCAGATATAGCTATAGCTCCCATATATAATGTTCATCCGATTTGTTATTTTGGTCCTTCGCAGCCGTAATATGCACTCTGTAACAACAATATTTGGGGAAATTTATCAAATACAGCTCAGAAATACATTTGCTAAATTTTATCGAGATCGGTTCAGATTTGGATATAGCTCCCATATATAACTTCGTCCGATTTACCTTTGATTGTGCACCAAACGTCTAATATTTGCCCGAATTGGATGAAATTTGACTCTTACGACCGAATTGAGTCTAGAAGCTAGTATGTCAAATTTGGTGAAAATCGGTTCAGATATAGCTATAGCTCCCATATATACTGTTCATCCGATTTGTCATATGTGTTACCCACAGCCGTAATATGCACTCCGTAACAACGATATTCAGGGAAATATATCAAATACAGCTCAGAAATATCTTTGCTAAATTTGATCGAGATCGGTTCAGATTTGGATATAGTTCCCATATATATTTTTATCCGATTTCAAATTAATTGTGCACAAAATGGGCAATATAAGTCCGAATTTAAAAGATACAAATGCTTCGGCATATTTAGTTCTTTGAACTTTAAATTATAATTATAATCATAGCGTGTATGATTGAATTCTCCCATAAAAACTTTTAATTGTTATGCGCAGCTCTACTAAATTAGCAAAGTGTTGTAGGGTATCATAAAGTCGGCCCCGTCCGACTTTAAGACTTTCTTTACTGGTTTATAGATACACATATCTGTACAGTGTGAGATAAAACACTGCAACAAATTCAAACGCCATAATTTTTACATTTTTTTTTAATTTTATTAAATGAAAACAAAAAACTGTCGGAAATGGCATCAAATTTTAGAATAAGTTTAGATTTGTTCGAAATGGTCACCTTTGGCACGAATTATGGCCTCCAAACGGCCAATGAAACCGTCACACGCTGCCCGAATGTTGCTCTGCGGTATTTTGGCCCATTCCCGGCGAAGCGCTTGCTTGAGGTGATCGACACTTTGGTATTTTTTAGTGCCAACCTTGCTTTCCAAAATACTCCAGATACAATAGTCCAACGGATTGGTATCCGGAGATTTTAGTGGCTGGAAAGGAAGCGAGGAACGTCATTTTGTAACCATTCGTGGGTGGCGCGTGCTAGTGGTGCTGAGTCCTGTTTGAATGTCCAAGGTCTGCGGCCAAAATGTTTGCGTGCCCAAGGCTTTAACATACCCTCCAGAATATTTTCCCTATAATATTCGTCATTTATTCTGATGCCATGGTCGATTAATACGAGCGAAGAGCGACCACTGGCTGTTATGGCGGCCCACACCATCACCATGGTTGGCGCTTGAGTTCTGGTGGCCAACCGGAGGTGCACATTTTCAGCTGACCACTGTGGCAAGTTAACACGATAATTTTGTTTGTTAACAAACTGCTGGACAACGAATGTTTTCTCCATCGGAGAAAACCAAATTCGGCAGTTCACCACTTTCGGTCAAGCCAAGCAACTTTTTAGCTCTTTTGAGTCTATTTTCTTTCTGTTGCAGTGTAAGTTCTTGCACTTTTTGGAATTTCAATGGCTTTACCCCGAGCTCATTTTTCAGTATTTGCCGAATGGAATATTGCGATATGTTCAGCTCACAAGCCATTTTCGGCCACAGTGACGCGGGTTTCGGATCAAGCAGCTTTTTTACTTTTCGAACCATTTCTGCTGATGTTGCTGTTTTCTTCCGTCCGCTTCCTTGACGTCGGGCTACGCTACCAGTATCATGGTAATGAGCGATGGTACGAGACACAAACGATTTATTCACATTTAAATGCCGGAGTGCTCCAACGATAGCCACTTGGGGTTTTCCAGCCAAATATAAAGAAATCACGCTCACGAATAACTTTTTTTCTGGAAAATTCTTAACAAAATACTTTTGTATGCTTGTAAAAAACATAATGAGCTGTCACTGGAATAATTTTTACAGCTGTCGGACGAGTGGCTTTGAAAGGACAGCAGTCTGAAATTGGTTGCAGTTTTTTCATCTCACCCTGTAGCTACAAATATCTGTATTTATGACTTTTATAGTGACATCTCTAACAAATGCTCAAAACATTTTCATTTCAACATTTTTGTTCATTATCACATCTCCATGATATTTTTTGCCTACATTTAGTTTATTTACCTTTTTTAATAATTCCTTTTTTCCCATTGTTATTAATCTCTCTTCTGGTTCTTCTTCTCCTTTGACTTTGACAGGCTGTAAAGCAATTTATCGATCTATGTAATCAGATTGGTTCAACGTGCACGCCCAGACGTAATATATCACAGACAACGGCTGTCAAGTTCCTGTATGCACGCAAATTTGATGTCCCACGTGCTGTCTCACTCTATGAACAGCACGAGCAGATACGTCTCAAGGAGGGTCTCTATAACATTGATCCGGATATTGAACCGTTGCGTTCAGAATTGCAAACGGGCAAATTCACAATACTGGTAAGAGCTACACACGCACACACATGCATTTATATTTTAATATTTTCCCTTTTGTTGTTTTGTTTTGCTGTTTAGCCTGCCCGTGACTCCAGTGGTGCTGCCATCGCCCTCTTCACCGCCAACAGACACAGCCCCCTGTCGGTAACGCATACGACGACCCTGCAGGGCATTGTCTATCAACTGGATTGTGCTCTCCAGGACACAGAAACACAAAAGGCTGGTCTCGTCTTCATCTACGACATGAGCGGTTCAAAGTATTCAAATTTCGATTATGATTTATCACAGAAAATTCTGACATTACTCAAGGTAAGTGAAAGAGATGGGTTATTTTGTGTTTTTTCTTCTTCGTATATTTTATTCTGTTTGGGGAAAAGTGAATGTATGTAGCATAAAGTTCAATTGAAAGGTTCTTTGTGGATCTGGGGGTTCAATTGATTTCCAATGTAAGATATGACAAATTTTAAATGAAGTTCAGAATGATAAGTCGTGTAAAAAATTGAAAAATGCTTGTTAAGCATTAACCTGATATTCATGGGTAAAAATTGCCAAGAGCGTTTGAATTTGATCTCAGTTCCTAAACTGTTTGATGTAACTACAGGTAACTTTATGCTTTTTTGTCTTGACTCAAACCTCATTTCAGTAATAGGGCTATTTACATTTAAGAAAATGTTTTCGAATCCTTAATTATGGATCAAATTTGCCTAACGCAAAGTATGACAGTATTTGAGACACTGGGGGCAATTTTTGGACATTAATTTATTCGGTGTTTGTTTATTTTTCAGCTATAGCTTTTAAACAGATAGGAAAACTGAATTCTAATCTGTTTCCAAGATAGAACAGGGTTTAGAACTATAAAGGGTAATTTTAAATATATGTGTGCAAAATTTTAGCATTCTATCTCAATTTGTTTGAAAGATCGCGTGATTACAACAGACAGACAGACAGACACACAGACGGACATGGCTAAATCGTCTTAGAATTTTACGCTGATCAAAAATATATTTACTTTGTTGGGTCTGACATGAATATTTCGAGGAGTTACAAACGGAATGACAAAATTAATATACCCTCCATAGTATGGTGGAGGGTATAAAAAGGCTTTTTCGAAAGAAAAATTCCCTTAGAACACTGAGGATTTGTTTGTAGAAAATATGTCCCCAGAACAGCGGCCAATTTTTTGCTGTACAGAACTGAGAATATTTTGATGAAAAACAAAACCTACCTAAACCGAAGGTTAAAATTACTTTAATGAGACCAAAGACCAAAAAAAACTGATCAACTTATTACAAATTTTTTTGTGTGCTTAATTGAAGCACTTTTTATTTTTAGTATTCAAAATGCACAATTTGTTAAGTATAACAACATTTTTTAATTCAAACTTCATACTGAAGTATTTTCTTTTTTCCGAAAGAATAATAAGAAAATCTTTACCCTTTACACCAAAAAGTCTTCAAGTTTACCGAGAATGATATAAGTTAGACCACTGCACACTCACGGGCCCACATCCAATTTTTCTGTTCAAATCTGTTTCAACGTTTCCATACGTAAACCCTAGAAACCAACTGTGATCATCAAATCGATATCAAAAATGAAAATTCCGGCTCTATACATTCACCCAATACCAAATTTAGTAACATTTTTTTCTTTTCGTATTATCTTAATATCCATTTCATATCTCAATCCTGGTCTCAAGCAGTTATCGTAATATAAAATTTCATGGTTTCATCCCTTCACACAATACCATAATAACACACATTCCGAAAACCCCTCCATATCGTAACCACAGACATCAATAGTGATATTTGTATCAAATTTTAGGACTTCACCTCTATTCCTTTACCCAATACTAAAGTTTATATTATTTATTACTTTTAGTACAATTATAGTACACATTTTCAAATCACCGTCAAATCCCAATTTTAAATATCATCAAAGACATTATTATCAGCCAATAACTATACCTTCACCCAATACCAAATTTAGTACCATTTTGTACTTTTCGTATAATTATAGGAGGCATTTCCAAATCACCGTCCAATTTCAAACCCATTATTTATCTAGATATCAATTTTTAGAATTTTATCTCTATCCCTTTAACCAATACCAAATTCAGTACTTTGCGAACATTTATAATATACATTTCCGAAACCACCTCCATATGACCAGGCTACACATGAACAGCGACCCCAATACCAAGATTTCAGATTTCAAACGCTATCTGTTCACCCAATACCAAATTTAGTTAAATTTAGCACAAATATAGTACTCATTTCCAAAACCACCCGCATTGCTTTATCCCACATACCAATATCAAATTTCAGGATTCCAGCTCAATGCCTTAATCCAATTCACAATTTAGTACCACTTAGTATTTTTCGAGCACTTTTAGTACACATTTCCAACACCACCTCCATATCTTAGCCACAGACATCAACAGTGACATCTACATAATAATTCAGAATTGTATCTCTATCTCTTTACCCAATACCAAAATATAGTACAATTCAATACTTTCCGTACAATTATGGTACATTTTTCCAAAACAAACTCCATATAACCAGGCTACACATGACCAGCTACCCTAACACCAAATTTTACATTGCAAGCACTATCTGTTCACCCAATTCCAAATTGTACTAGATATAGTGTTATTTAGTACTTTCCTGCAATTGCAGACCATATTTCCAATACCACCTTTTTATGACAAACCTGACTTCAACAGGGAACCCAATACAAAATTTCATAATTCCAGCTGCATCAGTCGAAACCAGACTGTTGCAAATTTAGTACCGTTAGTACAGTTCGCACACTAAGTTCATATATCCAAAACCACCTCCTCAATTTTAGATATCATCAAACACCTCAATATCAAATTTGTGGGTTCCAGCTCTACCCATTCAAACAAATTTAAATTTAATACCATTTAATACTTTTCGTACAAATATAAGACGCATTTCCAAGACAGATACTACCTAATTATCAAATTTCAGTATTTTATCTCTATGCCTTCGTCCAATACCAAATATAGTACCATTCAGTATATTTCCTGCAATTATAGTACACATTTTCGAAACCTCCTCCATATGTCCAGGCTACGCATGAACATCGACCCATATACCAAATTTCAGATTTCAAGCACCCACGGTTGAGCCAATTCCAAATTGTGCGAAATATAGTACTATTTAGTAATTTTCGTACACTTGTAGTACACATTTCCAAAATCACTTCTTTATCACAACCCTTCCATTAACAGGGACCCAAAATTCCAACGCTCACTCTAAGCCAAACTGTTCCAAATTTAGTACCATTTAGTACATTTCGCGCACTTGGTACACTTATCTAAAACCATTGCACCGTGGTCGCTGCCATTGGCCAAAATTCAAAAAATGAAAATCAGATATTTATTGTCAAATTAATTTTGAAAAAAAAAAAAAAAATGGATTTCAGTAAAGTTTTAAATGTTCATATATTATATTATATATATATTAACTTTGTCATTCCGTTTGTAACACCTCTAAATATTCGTCGTAGACCCCATAAAGTATATATATTCATAATCAGCATAAAATTCTAAGACGATTTAGCGATGTCCGTCTGTCTGTCTGTCCGTCTGTCTGTCTGTCTGTTGAAATCACGATAGAGCCCACATTATTTGACGTAGACCTTTGAAATTTGGCACAAGTGTGTGTATTGTCTATTGAAAATGAGATATATCGGTCCACGTTCTGGTATAGTCCCCATATAACGGTACCTCCCGATATTCGGTATTTTGATGATTTTTTTCACGGATTTATCTGAAAATTGGTATTTGTAGGTCATGACGGGTCCCTGAGCGTGTGGCAAAACATTGCATGTATAGGTCCACGTTTTGGTATAGCCCCCATATAACGGTACCTCCCGATATTCGGTATTTTGATGATTTATGCCACATATTTTCACGGATTTATCTGAAAATTGGTATTTGTAGGTCATGACGGGTCCCTGAGCGTGTGGCAAAACATTGCATGTATAGGTCCACGTTTTGGTATAGCCCCCATATAACGGTACCTACCGATATTCGGTATTTTGATGATTTATGCCACATTTTTTCACGGATTTGTGTAAAAGTTGGTATTTGTGGGTCATAATGGGTCCTAGTTCGTGTGGCCAAACATTGTAATTATAGGTGCACGTGTTGGTGTAGCCCCTATATAACGGTACCTCCCGATATTCGGCATTTTAATGTTTTTTGCCGCATTTCTTCTAATGTTCTTTTACCCTAGGGTGGAGGGTATTAAAAGTTTGGCCCGGCCGAACTTAATGTTTTTTTACTTGTTTATTTTTATTCCATCAAGGTACCATAACCAAAGAATCATATTGATATCTGCACTGAAAGTATTTTTGTCCGCTGTTGCCATACGACCTCGACCACTGTGCATTGATATCAATCAAACTAACTTTGCAACCTTGATTCTCATACCAAAAGTTTAGCTCTTTCCCTTCAACTAATGCCAAATAGTACAATTCTAGAAGTTTAGTACCGTATTAGAACGTTTCGTAACCTTAAAGTTTGAATTTCCAAAATGCCTTTGGTACATCCTTTCTGCACTCCATCAGTAGCATTCCGTTATCCAATACAAATATTACATTTTTAGTACATTTTATTACTTTTCGTGCCCTTTTGGTACGAATTGTCAAGAACCCAGCTAGTTTCCATTAGTAAACTTTCCTTTTACCTAAGAATTGTGAATAGTAATTTATTTTTTTTTTCTCACTGTAGTTGATTTTGGCCCCGCCAAACTTAACGTGAATTTGTAATTATTATTTGTTCATTTTGTAATTGGTTGTATTACCTACCCAATCTTTGAAGATAACTATGTTGTATTGTATTTATTTATTTTTTTTTTTTTTTTTTGTTTTTATTCATTATTTACATTTTCAATAGTAATTAGTCAAATTGCTTGATTTAGCACTGACAACAACAGTTCCCTAATTAACAAATTAAAAAAGTAAACAAAAAACAACAAACAAAGAAAATAGTTTCCCATTTAAACACAAGTTCTCAGAGGAGGCAAACGAATGGGTTTATTTGGTAATATTTAACAGAAAAAAATGTTACAACACTTGTTGCATACCAAACACATGGGAAGGAGGAGAGAACAGCATTTGTTCAATCTAACCGTCATGGAAAATAATCAAACAATTGAGGAGTTGACTGACTGTATGAATGTCTGAATGAGCAGTGAACGGAATAGTTATTGAATATTCAAACACGTGCCATATTTACACAGCTTACAAACTATAAATGCGAATAACGAACTGCTGGT